TATATATATATATATATATATATATATATATATGAATTTCAAATACAATGATGTCAATCATGTCATCTAATACCATGCTTTTGATAATCTCTCCACATAACATATTATTTTTGCCTACGAACACACGAAGCAGGAACTGAAAGTATAGAACTATTTTTCATTTATTGCGCCTTTCCTTGGCTCGATAAGGTCAGAATCAAGAAGATGATGCAAAGAGCAGTGTGGATTTGTTAATTAGATTCTTGTTAAGCATGTTTAGAAATTTAAAGGTGTTGCGGTGGGAATATACACCAGCAATTTTTGTTGAACATGGCTGTACTGGTTCATAAATTTCCACACGAGAGGTAGCATGCACTATGGTTTTGTTGCTTTGAATCCTAAAAGAGCAAAGAACATGTTGGATGAGTCGAGACAACTGATTGCATCCCAGGTATGTACATACGTATGCCAAAAAAAAATCTTTCATTTGTTTGTATGTGAGAAACCTTTTTTTTTATATATAGCAAAATGAAACGAGAGAGGTGAGAAAAATAATTGAGAGATATTATTCGAAGAAAGATGTACATAATATTGAGTTAACCATCCATACATTGTTAATGTAAAGTTTTTTACACTGGCAACCAAACAAATCCTTTAAATTATTTTATTTTATTTTATTTTTATTTCATTAAAAAAGCAACTAACATGACATTATTAAAAAATATGATTAATTGCCAATATAAAAAAACTTTACACTGACAATAACCGTAGTGTGTAGGTGATTAACTCGATAATATTTGTGAGAATGAGGTGAACATATTTTATGATATTACCAACTTTAGTCCTCATGAATGAGACTTACATTTTTTATTTTATTATTATTATTATTATTACTACTACTACTATTACTATTATTATTATTATTATTATTATTATTATTAATTTTTGGGGCAATACATTATTTATTACTTAGTTTGATTTAATATGCTATCAATTATTAGAGAAAATGTAATCAAAAAGTAGTTTCATTTAGTGACAAATTATGTTAAATATTTGAAACTTGGTACGGTGAAAAAGGATCACTTATCAATGTGTGTGTTTTTTACTGCATTAACATTTTCAACTTCATCTTTTTCAATGTATTGGCTTCACATTCACATATCAGGTGGATTATGGTGGTATTGTCGTTCACAGTTTCAAATCTGCTTCATTATCGTGTACTTGCAACTTATTATCTTGAAATAAATAAGACATTCCACAGTGTCTCGTACTCGTTAGAGAGGGCCTTGTCTTCGAAGGGAGCGAACATTTGAGTAGTTGCAAGAATTGAAAAAGTTTAATATAAAGGGTGTAATAGTAATTTTATATTTTTAAATAAAAAATTATTTAAAATCTCCAATATTTATTTGATTACTGTACCTCCTTTTTTATTCTCCACCAGTGAAAAATCTAATACATGGGTTCATCGAAGAATTTGTCTAGAAAGTAACTGTGATTCGTGAAGTGAAATATTAGGGATTGTGGATGACGAGGACATAAGAGAATGAACGATAGAAGAAATACAACATCTAATGACAAGCAGCATCCAAGGGTTGGGAGGATTAATGACAAGAGCAACAGTCAAGAAAATCAAAGAAGCTCTAAATTAAATAGTGGCAAATTTGATCTAGGATGGGTCGAAAATTTTAAATATGAATTGAGAGAGCCCAAAATAATTTGTCGCATTTTCAAATTAAAGACCATGAGAATTAGAGAGCATTTTAATTTTATTTAATCAACTTTTGACTCACTTCTTAAGCTAAATAAAAGTGTATTTAGATTTTTAGGTGGACTATACTTACAACACTACTAAGTCCCTTTTACTTTTATTTTTAGCTTTAGTTTGAGTTTGTTATTGGGCTAACCGGGTTAATCCATGTTAGGCTTTTACTAAATCCAATGGTTTGGGCTATTAACTTTTTATTACATAAAAAAAAATCCTAAACACAAATCAAATATAGATTATTACGACAAAATTGCTTGAGACTATGTTCTTTAAGGTTTTTGAAAGAATTCATCCGAATTTATCATGGAATATATTTCTTGTAGCAAAATCTAGAGTTATCAATCTCTATTTGTGTTGTCTTCTCTTTCTTTCCCTTGTCTCTTTGTTTTTCTTTTCAATTTAGAGTCTCAAATTTTCGATTAGGTAACTTCATGTCATATCTCACATTTTACTAAACTTTTTTAGTTGATTAATGTATCTAATTTGCATTTTAGAAAGTGACTTTTCACCTCGATTTGAAATCATTCAATTATGAGGTCTATAATACAATATACGAACATTCCTTAAAAAAAAAGTCAATTTTGATCCAATTTTGTAACTTCCTACCTAGAAAGGATATGTGGTGATTTCTAGCTAGAGGCAAAAGATATTAGTGGGTCATTAGCAATTTTCTAAATGTATTTTATTTGATTGTGAAATCAATTGTGATATTTTTTATATTAGAAATTTTTAGATGATTGAGAGATATCATAAAGTATGATATTTACTGCGGTGAACTTTTCATTGTATTACAAATTATAAGATCTTCGATTCAAATGAGACAAAAAAATTCACTTATAGATCATGTCACTAATTGATTAAGATAATTACTTTAAGATCATCCATATATAATTATTGAGGCAAAATTTATTGCTCTGAAAATAACTAATTATTAAGGTTAGTGGATGAAATAAAAATCTCTTAAATAATATTCTCATGTGAATAGAAAATTAAAAAACGTGTGATAAATTAATTGTTTAAAATATAAAAAAATATTGTTTGTGTGAAATCATTAATAGTTTCCATTGATCCTCTAACTTAAAACTTTCAAGAAAGGTATTATTTATGAAATATCGACAAAATGGACTTTATTAAGTCCTTCAGATGAATTGAAATTGCTGAAATAACGTA